TCAGCATGAGTCCCGAGTCCCGCGGTTCGCAGCGACGAACATCAACAAATTTCTTAGTCGTACCACCCGGCGAAGGGGCCCACCGACCCCCGGCCGACCATCCATTTATGCGCCCTGCGCCCAACCTTTTAAACTCTGCAGCCAATCCATCCTCCCGTCAGCATTATTCCCCACAATCCCAGTCTTGATTGCCGTCGCAGCACCAACCAAGGGTCCGCTTTCGTCATCATCCTGGCACTCTCCTCCCAATCAACAGCCACGGATCCCGCGACTTCCGTCCAGCTGCGCACCGCTGCCCTGCTCCTGCCTCGTGCGAAGTACATCTATTCCCGTACTTGTCAGATCCCGCGGTTGTCTGTCTACGCATCACCGCATCCACCCTCCCAGCCTTGTTTGCGGTCCGATTGACATACAAACTTTCCAACACATCCGCCGCCCCAGTTTCTCTCTTCCCCATCTCCCGCCGCAACATTGTTTACTGCCAGTGCTCACAACATCACTCCATCGCAACCACCAGTCCCAATTATCATCAATCAGCACTATGCCTATTATCAGAAACCCTTTCCGTCGGCAAGACGAGGCTGCGCGCCCGACCGACGAGAAGACCGCCCGCCCGCAGCATATCGACATCAACACCAAGCAACCGACCGAATACAAATTGAGCGGTCAGTCTTATTCTTCGACTCAGCCACTGCTGCGCATTGTCCACTGACAGACTGAGCAGAAATCGACGACAGTGGCGCCTACCTTCCACCTTCGCCAACTGAGCGCGGCAAGACTTTCTGGTCCAGCAGATCCAATGGCTCCACTACTTCCTCCAACCAGCGCAGCATTCTGAGCCCGGATGAGCCTTTCAACATTTCTCGTGAATCCTTCGATTCTTACCGCAGGTCCTTTGTGAGTATTAACCCGACCTTCATGGTCCTGACTGGCCTGACTGACTTGTTTCATGTAGGACATCTGCGCTCGCTCCCCAGTGATTCCACCGGAAGCTCGACCTCGCGTTTCTCTTGACTCGCGTGTGCCTTACCAGCCTCGCCACTCCTCATCATTCAATCGGCCTGAACCCACCCGTGAAGAAGATTTCGAGGACGTCGGTCTGAACGATGATCAAAGCAAGCCCAAGAAACGAGGTTTCTTCAGTCGGTTCGGCGACTCGAACAACGAGCAACAAGGCGAAGGCAGGCCTGGTAGCAGCAATGGTGGACACCACTTCCACATCGGCGGTAGGCGAAGAGGACACAGCGGTACTGGCCAGGAACTCGGCGACATGAACCGCGATTCCGCAAACTAGGTCCTGGCTTGACGCCTTCGTCGCACACATTTCTTGTATTTTGTTATTACCATTGTTTCGTTGTACAGCACCGTTACACCCCTTCTATTTGAGACCTGTCAGACGTCCAAATTGTGGCAAGGGAGGAGATATCGAGTTTCAAAGAAAGGGCAAGTGTGCTTCAAATGCGCCGCGGGTCTCACTGAGTGCCCTATAGCAGGTTAGAGTTGGAAAATGAGTGGTAGTCCATTCCGCTCACCAAAAGGGCGATTTAGCATGGGTATTGGTGTAATTGGGTACAAAGGACTCACCAAAGTCCATGATTAATGTCATAATGAAAATTGTTTCTATTTCACCTTACCTTCTACTCGTAAATCATACGCCTTGTCGCCCATTTGAATTGTTCAAGTCTGCCAGTCGTGACACATTGTATACTCTCAGAAGAAAAAGCTTTATTTAAGTGTTGATATGAATGGCAAGAGCACTCTGAATATCTTCCTCGAGGGCGTTCATTACCTTCTCCACCATCCCGTCGGTCCTCAACCCCGCCAGGACTTTCTCCACAGCCTGGCTGGCACTTTCTCCGTTGGCATCGATCGAGTACACCCCGCTGCCGGGCACGCCATCAGTGCCACGCGCAAGGTCAACATGGTCACCTAAGGGAACGCCAGCAGCGGTATCATCTCTGCTAGCAGAGTACCTCGCGCTCGTGGCGAGAAACAAATGGCGATCTCCAGCCTCTTGGGTGTCCATGAAAATCAACCTACCAAAGAGCCGACCAAAAGCTGAGAACGCAGCAAATATCAGACCAGTGCCGCGAGCGATACCCGATCTCACCACTCCAGGGAAGTTATGGACGAACGAGACTTGCGGATAGGTCTTGTGATGGCCTTCGAGCGTCAGGGTAGTAATAGACGCGGCATGGCCGCGGTTGGCCATGAGCTTCATGTGCCAACCTTGGAAGTCGTCCATGTCGATCTTTGGTCCCTCGAGGCCTCCGATAAAGACTGATACCACGCGGCGGAGAGACGGCGCGTTGCTGACCAGTGGGAGTAAATTGGTCATAAAGCGGTTGCGGGCGTGGACGGTCAGTGCGGCCGGGTAGTGCATGCCTTCTGCAGTCTCTGGATGGGGTTCAGCATACGAGCTGGACCATGAGCAGATTCGCCACATACTTATGCCTCTTTGCAGTGTTCCGATGGTGAGGAACAAGAGATTGATCGTCTTCTCTCGCCGCTTCAAGTCCCCGCATAGCTCATCAACATTCCGCATCAGGCTGGTATCCTTGCTGATGAAGGTGAACTCTCCACGTGGGTTCAGCTCCTTACATTCCTTGGTGATGCGGGTTCCAGCTTCTTGCGACCGCCCGATGATATATACACGAGGGCTCTGAGCATATTTTGCGAACTGACGCACAGTCGTCTCTCCTACGCCATTCGTTGCACCGATGAAGACTGCAACCAGTCCGGCTGGTAGCGTTGTTGCGATGCGCTCATTAGAAGCGCGAATTGCTTCGAGAGCAACCATGAGGATTGTGCGTAAGAGTATGGAAGTACTGCTTACTCAAAAAAGGGCCATCCCTCTACCTACTTTTATTCCCATGATGCCTATAACAGACGGACTTGATCGCCTACACGGCCGTAAGCCGTGCCCGGCGCAACGTTTGCTCCGGACATCTCAAGACACACAAGGAACCTAATTAGGTGAGGTAACTTGTACTACAAACGGGAGGTGCAAGATCGATGATGACTTGAAGTGGTGGCACAGTCGCAGCATAACATCGAACGCAATTGATGATCCCATATTCGTGGTGACTGTCTATAAACTAGGTCAGCGAGCGAAGGTGGAGCCTCGCTACCGCCCATCGTCGCGAACTTGACACGCCACCCCGCGTCTCGAGATCCTGACGCGATTTCAATTAGCGCCCAATGGGGCAGTCAATTTTGTGCGACGTCAGTAACCAAACACACAGCCCTGTGTATAGCAACCCAACGTGTGGCATTGATCGACGAGCGAGACCAAGAACCAAGTCTAGACGGTCCACACCGTTACAGACAGTATTTCTACATCATTGATCAGTATCAATACGCCACGTCCGCATCTTTGCTGCCACTGCTGGCGCTAAGCAAACCACATCCATCACGATCCATATCACAGCCCAAACTGTGGCGCACAATGGCCACCTCCGCCATCCGTCAGCTCTCTCCGAGCCTACGACCCGACACCCAGCGCTCGGATTCGGGATTTTCAGAAACACCACGCAAACGCACAAGACGAGGAGGCGTACACACACCAGTCCTCCAGAGCATCGACACCTCACCCGCCAGCATTGACGCCTTCCAGCGCCGGCACGACCTCGCCGCGCCAGCCATGCAGCTACGTCCTTTCGTTCAAGGCTCAGTCGAAGACGGAGACATCTTCGCCATCAGTCTCCCACCCGCCGCTTGCGGCGCTGCTTCGACACCAGAAGTGGAGCTTAGCGCGCGGAAAGGCCGGGCGGATCTAGGATTGGATAGCTCGGCATTTGATCTGGAGGTGGATCCGAACAGCGATGAGAACAGAGCTTCGGGACTCATAGCATGCGAAGAGCCGCGGAAAGCACCTACATGGGTGCGGCAAGGGCCACCGATGCCGCTGGGGGAGCTGCGGTTGGATGACCCGCGGGCGAGTCTAGACTTTGACTCCACGCTGGATCTGAGTGGGGATATGGACCTTGATGAGCAGACGGCTGAAGAGCGGGGGAGGGAGTGGCCGCCTAGTCCCAAGAAGTCGCCCGTCAAGAGGAGGTTGCTGTTCCAGCCGGCTGCTGCGACGAATATCACGAAGGATAGGGAGTCGATGATGTTTGAGGATCTCGCGTCGGTGCATGGAGATGTTGAGGAGGACAGTATCTTGGGCGGTAGGGACGGGACATTCACATTACACCAGCAGCGTCATACACACAACACGCCATCACAGGCAAACCATCTGGAGGAGGAGCATGATCGCCCTTCCTCCTTACCACAGCTTCAGAAGCCGGACAGACCAGCTGCCAGGGGCCGTAAGTCGCTTCTCCGTCGCCGTCGCACGACAAACATGCACGAAGACCCCATCACCAGCCCGCGTCTAGACCCCTCGACTCGAGTGTCAAAACACACCCCCAGGAGCAGACAGAGCTCGGCGGAGTCGCAGGCGGGGCTAGGCACAAATGCCGCATCGCTTGGCATGGAGGAAGCGGAGGCGTCAAGGTCCTCGGAAACACCGCCCAGCGCTGAGCCCAGTGCGGAGGATAGTCTGTGGAATGCCTGCGGGCGGGATTTGCGCAGGTGGAACATGGGGGACTTTGACATCGGAAACCATCTTGGCATCGACAACGGGATCCTATGGTAAGGTCAACTAATCTACTGGATCTTGCATAATGCATGGCATTGGTTGGTTTTGCATAGCTTGGGGCACAATGATGATCGTTACGAAGCATAGCAGCACAGCGTAGAATTGATTGAATGTTTTCTTGGCCTTGTAACAGACCGTGACCGGGTTGTCAGATCATCAGACATGCCAAGTGAAGGCCTAATTTGCTCCGATAAAACAAAATAGCACACTCGCACGTATCAAGAAGTGTTTCAGAATTAATAGATGCTCGATGCAATTTGTCCGATGCCGGAGCTTTTTCCGGGGTCTTGGGATTCTGCTTCTGGCTAACCATGGGTCGTAGGGCGACTTAAAAAAATGCAAAAAAATATGAAGTCGACGTGGGCAGGACTCGAACCTACGCTCCCGAAGGAATGTGATAGCACGATGAGGCTAGTTAAACTAGCGACCTCAAATTCTAGTCACACGCAGTAACCACTTTGCTACCACGCCTGATCTGTTTGAAACAGCAAATAATAAAATATATATACCCAATCACCGCAGCTGCACCACCACAGAACTGCGAATGCCCATAATCACTCAACAGCGTAAGCATACAAAACCATCAGCACTCAATCAATTGTAATAACTGCGGAATTGCCTCTGCATGAGTAGACCAGAATAAATATGCGCATTTGTGAAGAACTAGTTCCGATTTCGAAATGGCAGGTAACGACTTTCGTATTGAAAGATCTATATACCACCAGCCTAGTGTTACTCATTAAACTAGGCACCATCTCGGATGTCCAGCATCGACGAGAAGATTGCCCTCATGATAATATTCGTTACTCCATAACCCCATATTCGTTCTCTCTTCTCTGATGACCAGCATCTACAAGAAGAAGGCTGCGACAGCACCAAGTCCAATTACCGGCAGAGTATTAGCCAGCTTGACCGCAGCGCCGGTGAAGGCCTCGGGCTTGTTGGTGGTCCTGGTTCCGTTCATAGACATGCCTCCAGTCGTGGTCGGAGTGCCCTTGCCACCACCTTTTCCACCCTCGCCCTTGGAGCCCTCGCCGCCCTTGGTTCCCTCACCACCCTTCGAGCCTTCGCCAGTAGCCTTGGGACTCTCGCCGCCAGCGGTCTTAGAGCCCTCAGCACCGGCACCCTCACCTTTGCCGCCCTCGCCCTTTGAGCCTTCGCCGGTAGCCTTGGATCCCTCACCACTGGTAGTCTTCGAGCCTTCGCCCTTGCCACCCTCGCCAGTAGCTTTTGACCCTTCGCCAGTGGTGGTCTTGGAGCCTTCGCCGCCCTTAGCACCTTCGCCGCCCTCGCCACCCTTTGATCCTTCACCAGTAGCCTTCGATCCTTCTCCTGTAGTAGTCTTCGAGCCCTCGCCCTCGCCTTCGCCCTTGCCGCCTTCGCCCTTTGAGCCCTCACCGGTAGCTTTTGATCCCTCGCCAGTAGTAGTCTTGGACCCTTCACCACCCTCGCCCTTCGAGCCTTCCCCAGTAGCCTTTGATCCTCCGCCAGTAGCAGTCTTCGAGCCTTCGGCGCCAGCACCTTCACCCTTGCCACCTTCGCCTTTAGAACCTTCACCCGTAGCCTTAGACCCTTCTCCAGTGGTCGTCTTGGATCCTTCACCTTTACCGCCCTCGCCCTCGCCCTCACCCTTCGATCCCTCGCCAGTCGCTTTGGATCCTTCTCCAGTAGTGGTCTTGGATCCCTCGGCGCCAGCGCCTTCACCCTTGCTACCCTCGCCCTCGCCCTTTGAGCCTTCACCCTTGGAACCTTCGCCAGTAGCCTTTGATCCCTCACCGGTAGCAGTCTTTGAGCCTTCGGCGCCAGCGCCTTCGCCCTTACCACCCTCACCCTTAGATCCTTCTCCCGTCGCCTTCGAGCCCTCGCCAGTGCTCGTCTTAGATCCTTCGCCGCTAGAGCCCTCGCCCTTGGAGCCTTCAGCGCCAGCACCTTCGCCCTTGGACCCTTCACCCTTGCTGCTGCCCTCGCCAGTGGCCTTTGATCCCTCGCCAGTGGTGGTCTTAGAGCCCTCCGCGCCCGCGCCTTCGCCCTTGGATGATCCCTCGGAGCTACCGCCCTCCTCCCTGGTTGCCTTGGGTGCGCTGGGGTTGCCGGAGTTCTCCACCAGCATGTAGTTGGCAGAAAGCAGGGTCACGCCCTTCTGGCTGGTGATGGATTCGATGGAGTAGTTGCTCCTGATCTCGCCGTTGGGATCCTTGAAAGCGCCGCTCGCCAAGTCCTTGGGCACTGTGAAGGACGCCGGCTGGGTGAACAGGTACACCACGTAGTTGTGGGGTGCGTCGCCTTTTGGTGGGGCGGGACCCTCGTAGGGTGCGATTGCAGGCGTGTTGGACGTCTTGAGCTGGCCGGTCGGGTCGCTAGTGACGCCCGTCTGGAGCCAATGTAGGCGCACGCTGCGGTCTGGACCAAGGCCTTCCACGAGCTTTGAGTTCGGCGGGAAGAGAGACTTTGGCAGGCTCAAGTCAAGCATTGCAAGCATGTAAGGCCCCTTATTGTCTGTGACGGCCGTGCTGATCTTAGGTTCTTGTTGGACACCTTAATCGCTTGTCAGTTTATGTATCTCATCCCGAGCTTGGTGAGATGCCAAATACATACCAGATTGTGGCATCTTTCCGCCTGGAGTCAATTGGGCGCTCCCGAATTGTACTTTCAAGGCTTTGTCGATGCTAGGCTTGGAGCCTGGAGGTGATTGTGCAAGCACTTGTGCCGTGCAAAGCAGTAGTGTCGAGGCGACATTGAGGGTATGCATTGTAGTATGTATGTCTGTCGGAACTAAGGCTGTCTGTATTCAGCTTTGGTGCGCGGTGAGGACGAATTATATAGAATGGGTATTAAGGTATGGACGACAAGGAGAAAGATGAGTTTCGTGTCTATTGGAGGAAGAGGTGAGTTCTTGGTTTGATTATGAGAGAGGAGTTGAGTGTTCTGTCTAGATTATATTTGCTGAAGACACCATGGACTTTATATATCTGATCTGGTATGTACCTACCATGCCAGATGCGCGTGTATACCTACCATTTGTGATGCGGCGCAACGCCGAAACCAAACATGACTTGGCAACTGGTATCGTGAGACGACGTGCCCACATTGTGCAGCATCGGGGTAAGGATGCGGCAAGGTTTCGGCCAAGGCCAGTCTTCCTTCGTGGAGCCACCCATCTGCGGCAACTTCCACCACATGGCATGGAGTGGGGCCGAGAGGCAGGATCAAGCGATGTGTGGGAAGGATGGAGAACAGATGCTTTGCGAGGTAGCTGGGAATACTCTCTGAGATACCAAGGCTGGGCACCCAAGGATATGGTAGCGATATTTCTGATCATGTGAAAGAAGCTTTGCCGCCTTTCTGACCCGAAGAACCACTCCTGCTCTCCCACGCTTGACCCCAGTCGCTGGAAAGCTCATTGTGCATTCACAATACCGCAGTTTATAAGCCGACTATTCCTGCCGCTGTCGACATGATGCAAAACAGGTGAACGGCATGACACATCACGTTGTTGACTGCTGGAGGTTCGAGAACTTTGGCCTTGTGGTGTCGCAGATCGACAAACATCCATCAGCAAGAAAAGGCGGGCGGCCAACGCTGACTTCTGATCAGGCCAGCCATATGCTCGCTTCTGCCACAACATCCCCCTGCCCGGTTCGTGTTTCGTGTGCTCAAGCCAGTTAGCCATTCTCGGTACGGACTGCCAAGTGTTTTACAAGGTATATCAGAATTGTAAAATAGGTATATATATTACGTGCCGAGAAAAGGCGTGCAACTTTTGTTAAACAAGTTCAGACTCCCCTGCCTCCCAGACGGCCTGCCGAATGCTTCGCTCCTGCCAAGTGACATTAGAAACACACATGCGGCGCTTGTTGAAAATGCCCAGCACTGTTTGATCCTGAACCTAGTCGTCGTCCTGTGTCCATCGCCGTTCTCGCAGAGGCAAATCCTTCCTCTGCGCGACCCTCGAGCCATCAAGCTCCGCTTTCCAGGCGTAGTACTCGCCGAACCGTTCTTCAGCATACGATGCGTAGTCAAAGTCAATGTGTGAGATCTGGGCCTGGATGAGGGCCCAAACACCCCAGTAGAATCCCGGCACGCCACGATAGAGGTCTACCAGCGAGCACAGCTGGTCAACAGCTACCTCGGGCGAGAGGCTCTCGCTCGGACGATCGGAATGTTTGAAATATGACTTTACGTATGACTCGACGAAATCTCGGCGGGTCGATGTGGTGGGTATCGCATTATAGTCGCAATTCATGCCGGCCCATTCGGCAAAGTGATTGGCAATGTCAAACGCCGCAGGTGCCGGAGTCGAATACTCGTAGTCGATGAAGTGGACTTTGGAGTTTGACGAGTGCCCGTTGACCACTGATGGCTCAATAATTACGTTACCCAAGAGGAGGTCACAGTGGGCAAACACAAAGTCCTTTCCGAAAGGACCAGGCAGTCTAGCCAACTTGGCCTTGAGGAAGTCGAACTCGGATTGAATGGTGCGGACCTGCTCCCTCTGTTTGTCGCTTTCGGCTGGGAGTGCTTTGATCCATGAATGGGTGATGGACCACATGTTTGGAATTGGCATATCAGATTTCGTACAATTGCTGGTCACGTGCCCGGATAGATCAGCGTCGGCGTCCTTCAGGTCGGCCAAATCACTCAATACAGCTATCGAGAGAGTTGCGTGCCACTGACCCAGCTTCTCGGCAACTGCGCGGTATATTTGTGGTCTTGGTATATCTTGCGGAGAACAGACATTGCCTGGGACAAACTTGTAGAGAAGGCCATTGGCGAATCGAGCGAACAATGGGGGTGCTAGGCCTTGCGAGGCCAAAAGGGAATGTGCTCTGATCTCTCCTGATCTCTTCTTTTAGTCGTCTAAGGGTAGAGAAAGGGTGGCACGTGATCAATACTCACTCTCGCGGTCGATCAAGACGTCTGTGCCTTGCCCATATGCCCGCAGTAACACGGCTTCATGATCAACCTGCTCTTGCGAATATCCTGGACGTCTCTTCTGTGCTTTCAGGAGCTGCAAAATTACAAGTTAGCGAGTGTTTGCGAAAGATCGACAGGCCATCGACCTACCGTGTTGGTAATGCCGTCGGTGAAACGTATCAACTCGATCGCGCCCTCGGAGCGCTGCCATTCGGGAAAGAGTGTGTGAATCAATCGTAGGGCAGAGGACTCGGAGTTGTGTGGGTCGTAGCATAGGTCGATGTAGCGGACGGCGAGCGGAGAATCGCTTCGTAGGTAGGGCGACATGCTCACAGACGGCCAATTCCTTGATGTTGACTCAAGGAGGGCGCAACTCGAGGAATAATAGCGGACAAAGTATTGTTGTCGTCGCTCCGAGAAGCATGTGGAGTGGTTGAAAACCGTTGGACAGAGGGCACGCGATGGGACAGGAGGGAGAGAAGGAGGGGGTGTGCGGAAGGTGAAAATGTCTCGAATAGTGGTGTTTGGCGCGGGAGATGAGCATGTGCAGGCTTTGG